AAAAAAAAAAAATCGTTTTGATTGAATATATTTGCATCCAGACACACCTAGTTTTTGTTTTCTTCATTTTGGCGGGGGTGGGGTGACTATTTTGAGGAAGGAAAGTGCAATTAGGAAATTAAGAGCAGAAGTTAGGTCTTCATTTTGTTTTCTTCATTTTGTTTTCTTTATTTTGGTTGGTTGGAGAAGATGAGACCAGAAGTTAGGTCTTGAGTTTGGGAGGATTTAGGAAATTAAGAGCATCTCCAAATTAAGTCCATGGATGTTACTCTATTTCATTGTTATAAAGCTCCAAAAATTGAATGTTGCATTTAAAATATGTAAAAGTCTTTATAGATACACAAAAGCTTCTAGACATTTTCAATTCTATATTATATTATTTATTTTATATTTTTACTCTGCACCAATCAATTATCACTACAAGAAAATAGAGTTCTAGTGAAGAATTTTTTGTCACTATATCTATTGTCAGTATATCTACAATTGTTGTCACTATATCTACAATTATTCTACAATTGACATTAACCATTAGAAACAAAATATTTTTATTAGTAAATCGTAATTTTAGCTTTGTAAGTTTCGCTACCCTAACTTTTTCGTCCTCTTCGAATTGCATTTTTTACTTCGTCCCGTATGTTGACGGCCTAACTGTATGGTTCATCTTCTTCGGTCTATGTTCGTCAGTTATTGTTTGCTCTGTTTGGTTTTGGTTGTAAGTATTATTGTTGTTTGGTGCTGCTCTAGTTTTGTTAGTTTTGTTGTTTTAGTTACGGTTTGATTGTTGTTTTAAGTTGTTAGTTTTTCTTTGGAGGAGGAGAAAATATGTTGCTCCTTATCCCCCTTTTTCCTTGCTAGCTGGTTGACCTAATGACTAGTTTAGTTTGGTTAGCAACCAGTTGATTTGTGTACTTTTGAGGTTAATATATATATTCCTGAGGGAGAGCTTTGTCGCCTTTGTGGTCCTACCCGGCTCGATTCCGGATTAGTCAGTTCCCTTGTGGATTCGGAAACCGGAAGGTCCCTGTACATAAAAAAAATATATATATATTCCTTTTTTAGGAAAAAAAAAAGAATTTATCATATACATTTCATTACTAAAATATCTAATTTATATTTGATTAAGAAGTTAAAAGTACAATACCCAATATAATTCGAAATAATGATTTCTCCACACTTAGAAAACCTTAAAACAACACCAATAATATCCAATCAGTTTTGCATCAGACTCATGCACCTAATAATACTTTTAGGCCACTACTACCAGTAGAGACAAATAATAGCTGAAAATATCCAAAACACCCTTGCAAACCAACCAATTTTTCTTTTTTTTTTCACAGGCGGAGAGATGGACTAACTTCATACGAAATGCAGTACAATGCAATACACCCGCAATTAACAACCATTTTGCTCCAAGCTCTACTTCTTGGCGTACATGGACTCCACCTTGCCGTCATTCCCCCCAAGCAGCATGTACTTGTCTTTCCTCGTCAGCTGGGTGCACTCGAACCCGAGCGCCCCCGCCAGCACCTTCTGCACGTGGTTTGCCACCTCGATCGCCGTCTTCCCTGCCCCGCACGTCATCTCCTCCGGCAGCCTCTCCAGGAACGTCACCTCGTACGTCGGCCTCGGATTCATGAAGTAGAAATACGCGTCCCAGAACTTCACCCCCCGCACGGTCGTCCCGTGGAACATCCCCTGCTTGATGTTGACGGCCACAGGCACGATCCGGTCGCTGAGCTCCGCAAACAGTGCGCTGAACCTCAGGAGGTACGGCTCGCGGCACGTGGTCCCCTCGGGACAGACGACCAAATCGCCCTTCTGCAGAAGGGCCCGGATCATGGCTGCGTCGGCCTCGCGGTCGCGGGTGAGGGCCACGGCGGGAATCGGGGACAGGAACCTCGAGAGCTTGCTGACGCTGTAGGTGACGCACGAGACCTTGCGGCCGAGGGCTATGGCGATGACGATGGGGTCGAGGGCCGTGCGGTGGTTGCAGACGTACAGGTTGCCCGGGTGGCCGGAGGAGGGGGGAGGTGGGCGGGGCCCGCGAACCACCAGGTTGATCCCCAGCATCGGGTACGTGTAGCGGACGATGCGCTCCGGGAGGGGGAGGTTGAAGTAGACGCGGACGAGGGAGAGGGCGAAGCCCAACGGAAGCCACACGTACGTGATGAGGGCGTTCACCGGGGTCGGGAGCTGGACGAGACGCCCGTCGTGGAAGATCAGCCGGCTCTTGAGGCGCTCGAGTGGGAGCGGCTTCGCGGTTTTGCTCGGGTGCACCATGTACCCCTCCTGCTTCACCACAGGATGGAAAATTTTAAAGAGGAAAACAAATTTGTATTAGTTTAGTATTATCATCGTGTTCATACTATCAAATATCATAATATATAGCTAGTTGTTTCCTTGAAATGTTTGTTTTGCAACGAGATTTTAATTTATCCCGTATCATAAAGTAAGAGACAATAGTAAATCAACTAATTAAAGAAGGGAGTGGGTCACATCACAAGACTTGGGAGTTTTATTGAGGAGTGTTGGTTGCAACTACACTCATCTAACCTTAATTGCACTAAAGAGAGTTTATTGCTCGGGTGCAATTCAAGTATTGTACTAATATTATTGCAATTCAAGTGTTGCTTGAGTTTATCCATACTTTAGTGCAATTAATTGCTCGGTTTAAGAAAAATATAGCCAGCTGGTTGATCCATACAAGTAATAAAGTTTAACACATGCTCTGTTCAGCCAGTTGGGCTTTCTTGCCAGCTTGCGAGGGTAAATGCTGTGGCCCCCTTTGATTTTGTTGTTAGGTGTTAAAAGTCAATTGCTATAGGTATCCCTCCTATTACTGCACATCCTCAACTACTTGCGCCTCTCACTAATATTATTACTACACCCACAACAACTACATTAATTGCATGGCATCTCATGTGTGTGACAGAGAGAAGAAGATGATAAATTAGTTCATCAATGATAGAATCAAACAGTAAAAAAGCAATTTTTCATAA